GGCAGGGGGGTGGACTAGATGACCTTTAGAGGTCCCTTCCAACCCAAACTATTCTATGATTCTGTGATTCTCTCTCTGAGGCAGGAGCTAACTAAATCAGCCTTGCTCGTCATGAAGACACAAAGCTCCCCTTCCTGCAAATAATCTTTAGCACGCGTGATGAACTATATGGGATAGATGTTGTGTTCGCATAGACCAAAGCCCACTGTAGGTCCTATTAACCTCTGCTATAAAAGCAAGGGCTCGAAGTAGGGAACGAAGTTCGGCTATGCAAGTGCCAAGTGCCCTTGCTTCCAGCAATGCAGAGCACCTGTCAGCCCTGCCGCTCTGAGCCCAGCCTTCAGAGACATTAAATGGGATTAAGTCCAACAGCTTAATCCGATAGCTTCCATAAAGAAGACAACGTTTTAAATAACTGTGTTTGCACTACTTTGTCGCAGTTTATGCATGTCACATGGCAATGACAATTTGAGAGAAGCTCAAAAGAGCTTTGGAGAAGACTGTGATGGCGTACAGATGGACTGCCTTGTACAGGACTGTTTTCACTTCCAAGGACATTATTTATTATTATTTTTTACATCCATTTTGGCTTAAATGCCATCTGAAAGATGGGGGAAACCTGAGTTCTGGTCTTTGCTGTGATGGCTGCTTACACCTTTTATTAATTAACCAGCTATGTCATCTAAAACTGCACGAAGAGTACTTGCAGCAAACACCAGAGCCAGTGACTCAGGGTCCGTTTTGTGTGCTGTCTGTGTGGACTGGCAATTGTGGAAACCTGTGGTGCTCAGTGGCCTAGCTTGTACAGGGTGGGAAAGGGATGCCCCAGCCTCACCAAGTAAACTAGCTTCTAAATATTTATGTAAAAGATCAGCTTTAAAGGAAAAAGTATCTCAGAGTTATCACCCTACATCACAGAGTAAGAGATGGAATTCCAGAAAGGGATGGCTTTAAAACAACTTTTTTTTTCAGCTGTAGCAGTGCCCTTCTCCCACAGCACACCAGCTATTTTGGAGCCCATTCTTAAGTACCTAGCTTGCTCTATCTATCTACCTACCTACCTACCTACCTACCTATCAATCAATCAGAGATGTGCATCTGTATATATAGCTGAGGCACCAAAGACATGCTTCAAGATTCCAGTCCAAAGGCCAAGAATGAGTTAGACACTGCAGTACTCAGCACTTAACCTCCTTTTTGGTTTCAATTCCTTCCTGATCCAGAGGCACTGAAGCTATAGGCCATTATATGGATCCTGAAGTAGATTACCTACTGTGGAGATTTTCTCCACAGAAAAACATCACTCATTTCTCATTGTCTGTGTCTTCCACAATGTCAGCCAGGAAAATAACTGTACAGCCTTTAAATTTGTTCTACTCAACTAAGAAGATCAATGTCCTTGTGTCTTACATAGGACATGCAGGTATGTGCTGGTTTTGGCTGCGATAGAGTTAATTTTCTTCACAGTAGCTAGTATGGGGCTATGTTTTGGATTTGTGCTGAAAACAGCGTTGATAATACAGGGATGTTTTCATTATTGCTGAGCAGTGCTGACACAGAGTCAAGGCCTTTTCTGCTCCTCACACCACCCCACCAGCGAGGAGGCTGGGGGTGCACAAGAAGTCGGGAGGGGACACAGCCGGGACAGCTGATCCCAACTGGCCAAAGGGATATTCCATACCATATGACACTATGCTCAGTAATAAAACTAGGGGGGAGGTTGGTGGGGGTGTGTGTCTCAGGGACTGTCTGGGCATCAGTCAGTTGGTGGTGAGCAATTGTTTTAATTTGCATCACTTGTCTTTCTTCGGTTTTATTTCTCTCTCTTTGTTATTTTTGTTTTCATTACAAGTTATTAGTATTTTATTTTATTTCAATTATTAAACTTTTTATCTCAGCCCACAAATTTTCTCACTTTTACCCGTCCGATTCTCTCCCCCCATCCCACTGGGGGGGAGTGAGTGAGCAGCTGTGTGGTGCTCAGTTGCTGTCTGGGGTTAAACCATGACAAGGTACAAATTTGGACTTTTGACTAGTGTCTCAAGTTGGCCTTAATTCTTGGCCTTTCACTACAGAAGCGCTGTTAATTGAAATGAAGGACTAGTTTGTGCTCAGCCTTTGCAGCAAGTTAGTTTGTAACCTTTCCTTACTGTTACCAGTAAAACTGGCAAAGACAATAAAGCCTACAATGAATGCACTGCTTTATTCAGCAAACAGCAACGCAGCTACTGAGTGGGTAAGACGTGCAGCTGTATTTGGCCCCGCAGGTCAGAAATGTCCCAGTATATGGCTAACTGAGGGTTAGAGTGGGAGGAGAGGGAAAGGGCAAGGCATGTTATTGTTTACACCAGGGCCCATGACAACTAAGTTAAGAACATAACTTGAAGTCACAAGATTTTTGCCCTAATCCTAATAACTGAGCCAGGCAGACTGGCTTTAGCGCTAACAGATGGATGTTAAGACTCTGGGTTGACTGAGACCATCAGGCCCAGATTTGATAATAGGCTCAAGGGTAAGACACAAAAGTGTACAAGGCAGGTGTAAGGATGCTTTCTCAGCTTGCT